GTTTGAGTTCAGGAATTAAAGTATATCACAGAAGTGACCACACTCCCTCACATTTCATAAATATTTTAGTATATCTTTTCATGTGACAACACTGAAGAAATGACACTTGGCTACAATGTACAGCAGTGAGTATACAGCTTGTATAAGAGTCTTATACAAGCTGTCCCCACAAAATAATGCAACACACAGCCATTCGTGTCTAAACTGCTGGCAACAAAAGTGAGTACTGTACATCCCTAAGTGGCAATGTCCAAATTGGCCCAAGTAGCTGTTTTCCCTCCCTGGTGTCATGAGACCCGTTAGTGTCACAAGTCTCAGGTGTGAAGGGGGAGCAGGTGTTATTGCTCTCACTCTCTCAGACTGGTCACTGGAAGTTCCACATGGCACCTCAAGATAATGAACTGTCTGAGGATCTGAAAAAACGAGTTGTTGCTCTACCTAAAGATGTCCTAGGTTATAAGAAGATTGCCAGAACCCTGAAACTGAGCTGCAGCATGGTGGCCAAGACCATACACCCGTTTAACAGGACAGGTTCCACTCAGAACAGGCCTCGCCATGGTCGACCAAAGAAGTTGAGTGTCTGTGCTCAGCGTCATATCCAGAGGTTGGCTTTGGGAAACAGATGTATGAGTGCTGTCAGCATAACTGCAGAGGTTGAAGGGATGGGGGGTCAGCCTGTCAGTGCTCAGACCATACACTGCACACTGCATCAAATTGGTTTCCAGTGCTGTCATCCCATAAAGAAGCCTCTTCTAAAGATGATGCACAAGAAAGCCTGCATACGGTTTGCTGCAGACTAAGGACATGAATTTCTGGAATCATGTCCTGTGGTCCGATGAGACCAAGATAAACTTATTTGGTTCTGATGGTGTCAAGCATGTGTGGCAGTAAACGGGCGAGGAGTACAAAGACAGGTGTGTTGTGCCTACAGTCAAGCATGGTGGTGGGAGTGTCATGGTCTGGGGTTGCATGAGTGCTGCCAGCACTGGGAAGCTACAGTTCATTGAGGGAACCATGAATGCCAACATGTACTGTGACATACTGAAGCAGAGCCTAATCTCCTCCCTCTGGAGACCGGGCCACAGGGCAGTATTCCATGATAACGACTCCAAACACACCTCCGAAAAGACCACTGCCTTGCTAAAGAAGCTCGTAAAACGACAAATCCGCATGATGATGAGGTTTTGCGATCGCTGTAGTGATTCACAAAACAGTGATTCCAATGGGGGATTTTCGCTGGACAGTGATTTGGTCCGTGCTTCGCGGACCGTTTGTTAGCAAGACAACGATTTTTACAACTGATCGGTGGCTTCGCAAAATGGCTTCCCTATGTTTTCGGGACCCGTGCTTCGCAGGACAGCCATTTTAACAGCTGATCGGCGCTTGCAAAATGGCTTCCCTATGGGTGATCTTTGCAGGACGACAATGTATTTTCCCTATTGGAACACATTAACCAGGTTTCGATACAACGGTTTTCGCATGACGATGATTTTGCTGGATAGCAATTTCTATGGAACGGATTATCATCATCATACGGGGCACCACTGTACCTAGAGTTTAATTCAGTTATCTCGGTTCCCTTCAAGTGGAGGAAACTGCAGTCCTCCACTTCCTCAACCCGGGGTTGAAGTTTTTTGGGCTGGGAATTCCCATGTTCTATAACCCTGCAAACTTAAAATATCTTTCTCCAGGAGCCAGGTCTCTTGTAGGCAAATTTTGTTATAAGATTGTAGATACTGTATAAAATCTGACTCAGCCAATTTATTCCTCCATCCTGCAATTTCCAAGATAGAAAATTCAGAGGCTGACTTTGTATGTTATCTGGGGTTAGTTAATCTTGGTAGGGAGCTATTTGGTGGATATATCTGTTGTCAAGGTGCCATTGATAATTAGGTGTGCTATAAAGTTTGATGGCTCGTAGAAAACTTATTTCTTGTTGGAAAAGCATCCATCATTGGGGCACCTCTTGTTTAAGTTATCTGATTATTATGTTTATTTACAAAATCATGCGGTTGCTTAATTAGAATATTGTTGGGGGCAGATACAAATGGTGGGCACACTTCTTTCCATCCATAATTTAAATTCAATTCAGGGAGAGGTTCATCAAGATAACTAATGACCTTGCCCCTGCATCTGTAGTACTTTTGAATGGGGAAGGGCTCAGCAATTTTGTATAAGTTTCCATAGGATAGTGCATTCCTTTTTAAATTTACATTCTGTCCCAAGCCATCAACTTTTACCCTCTTCTCGAAAGTGCCCCTGCAAATCACAGCATGTGGATGACTGTTTGTTTGTATTGGTCTATGTATGTTTCGTGTTACAGTTGACTTGGACATAAACTTGGGGTGTGTTATATGTGAACCCCATTTGAGTGATACAAATCTATCTACGAAGTTATACATTAAACTCAAAAATGATAGGCGTATCTGTTATCTTTAAATAGCAGATGAACACTCCCCCTCCATAGTTCAGGCTTTATAGGGTACAGTGGTGCCTCACATAGCGAGGTTAATCCGTTCCGGATTAACCTTCGCTATGGCGAACATCGCTGAACAGAACTGGGAAAGCCATTGGAACGCATTAAACTTAGTTTAATGCGTTCCAATAGGCTCCAAAACTCACAGTTCAGCGAAGTTGTCCCACAGCCGGCAGCCATTTTTGCGCCCTCGGTAAGTGAGGGGAGGGCACGAAAACGCTGCGTGCGGCCATTTCGGGGCTTCCGGCGGCCATTTTGGAACTGCCGAACAGCTGATCGTCGGGCATCGCTTTGCGAAGATCGGTAAGCGAAACGCTTACCGATCATCGCATAGCGAGTTTTGCCCATAGGGGCCATCGGTATGCGATCGCATTTGCGATCGCTAAAACCTCTTCGCTATGTGATTTCGTCGTTCTACGATGCACTCGTTAAGTGAGGCACCACTGTATATGCATGAACAGTGCATATATGTTGTGGGATCGCAGCCTTTGTCCAGAATATCCAAGATATCCCAGGTTACATCCATGCTAGTTTTCCATGTATTATTTGCCCTTTTTAAAGGCGAATTGTATATGGTAATTTGACTTACAGAGTTCGATGTTGGATCTGGGGTCTGTGGATCCTCTGTTCCGGGATCCTCCTCCCTCGGGTATTGTGGGCAGGGATCGATCGGTTAAGAGCATGCCACTCCTGTCTGTAGGAACTGGAGATAAGAACCCATTGACATCTGAAATGATGTCTTCCCAATCATCAGTTATTACAACATCTGCAGTTGAATTAAAATCCTCAGCTGTTTATCTTGTGTTGCAACAGTCAGTTTGAGTTTTGGTTGAGTTTTTGAGAGCTGTCTGGAATTTGAAGCCAGCCTTTGTCCTCCAGGTGCCTCATGAGGTACTAGGCTTTTTTGAGATAGGCAGCAGTTCTTGTTTGATTCTACTGTGACAGTCTCACTTCCAGCTTGGTGGTGTTTTTTCAGCTGGGTTAGGAAGTGCTGCTATCAGAATCCCCGTTTTTAATCAGTGTGGCTATTAGTTGGAGCATTGCTTTCAAATCCGAGATTTCCTGGTGAAGAGTTTGAAATTTGTCAAAGATATTTTGATTTGCTTTTTGAGATAAAAAACACTGGTTGCGCAATTTAGTGTAGATAATCTTGATGTGTTCATTATCAGACCCATAAGATTTGTCTATATCGGTATTCCCAATAAATATGCCTCTTAGATCGCTACTTGGTGGATTGAAATTGTCGTCAGGCGAGCCCCTTGTTGAGATTGGGATTCTATCTTGGATGTCTGGGTCCACTGACCAATTGCCAATCGAGTAACCAGATAAAATGTCATTAACCGCATCATCATGTTGAAAGTCACTGGCATTTGTATTCAAATCTTCATTGCCCAGTGTAGATGGAATATTTAAAGCAAATTCCCTTGGGGGGGGGCTCTGGCTGTGAGAGTTGGAATAGTTCTGAGGGCTAATGGAAGCTAGAGGCACACAGTAGTCAACTATTGTTCTTTGATGTTTACTGCATTGACTGCATTTACTTCTGGAAGCATTGTTAAGTCCAGCACCAGTTTTCTGTCCTCTATTAATGACCATGTTCTTGGCCTTTACAAACCCTTAATGAGATCTCTTTGTTTCTTTGTTTGGCTTTGGAGTCTTTGCCTTCTATGTTGTCTTCTGCTCAAGTAGCTCCGCTTAATTTCTGGATAGCTATTGGATAACTCAGGGTGCTACAGCATAGTTCTTATTTAGCCTTGAGATGTTTGGGACCTGTGGTTATGTTGTCCTCCCCGGAGGATATTCCAGCGTTTCTTGCACTCTTTAACTCTTTGGCTCTAGGTAATATCAGAAGGTAGACTCTTTTTAATAGAACAACCAAATTAAGGACAGTATAAAGATTAAAAATAAGCTAAAGATAGTGGAGGCTAATGCCAACACTGCTCCTCCACAGCCCAGAACTGTAATTTTCCAGCACTTAATTTTAATAAAGGAGGCATTACAGTTCCAAATACAGTGGTGCCTCGCTTAACGGGTGCCCCGTTTAACGACAAATCCGCATAGCGACAAAGATTTTGTGATCGCTTTTGCGACCGCATTGCGATGTTTTAGATAGGAAAAAATTGCTTTGCGATGATCGGTATCCTGTTTCGCATACCGATCATCGCATAGCGATGATTTTCCAACAGCTGATCGGCGGTTCCAAAATGGCCGCCGGGTAAAAAAATGGCCACCCGCTGTGTTTTCACCCGGATTCCTTGCTTACCGGGTAGCGGAAATGGCCTCCATATGGAGGATTTTCGCTTAAAGGTGAGTTTTAAGCCCATAGGAACGCATTGAAGGGGGTTCAATGCATTCCTATGGGCTTTTTAAAACTGCATAGTGACGAAATCGCTTTGCAGCAATTTTTGCTGCACGGATTATCGTCGCTATGCGGGGCACCACTGTACTTTGTGAATAACATTTGATCACTTCTTTGTTTTCTGAAAATGGTAATAACTTTACAATAGTAATGGACTTTTTTTTTTAGTCTTTCACATTAGAGTTCCACTTTGAGCCCAATGACTACTTCACCAATTCAGTTCTGACAAAAACCTACAAGATGAAATCGGAACCAGATAAGGCAGATCCTTTTTCATTTGAAGGCCCTGAAATTGTTGACTGTGAGGGGTAAGGAGAGACTATCTTGAACATTTTTAAAGGTTCGAATCTGAATTTTGAAATAAGAGTAATGGATTACAATGCAAAATAAACATAATAAATTAATACTAGTTTTAACTCTGAAGTTTTAATGACTCTGTCAACGTTCTTTAAATTTCTTTGCATTGCTGTAGTGTGTTTGTAACATTCAGTTACAACTGATGATAGAACTTTTTTTTTTTGGTATTCCCTTGTTTCAAGCCAGGCTTCAGGAGCTGTAGAAATTAAATAGACTTAAGTCTTAGGATATATTCATGCAAGTCATAGTCATAGCACCAGTAATATAAATATGGCTAAATATAATCAACCCAGTACCTAAAAATAGGCATTAAGTAAAATGGCAACTAAAGCAGTAAGGCAAGACCATTCAGACAGCAATGCTGTCTGCTGGCATTTAATACTAATTTGGTGACATTCATTTTTGCCGTGACAATGATCTTGTCCATATAATGGGTTGCTGACATCATTGAAGAGCATGTCCATTTTGGTTTTGAATGATACTGGCATACATATTTCTTTCTAGATGTACTATTGATTGGAAGAAAGGAAAGAATGTTACAGTTAAAACAATAAAGAAGAAACAGAAGCACAAGGGTCGAGGCACAGTCAGAACAATTACTAAACAAGTACCCAATGACTCCTTTTTTAACTTCTTCAGTCCAATAAAAGGTAAGCATGGTTCAGTTTAATATGCTCTTGTTAAGCATATTCATGTATACTTTCTTATCATCTGATATGCTTTGGAGAGGGCACAGTGTATTCCCCTGGGGTTATTTTTGGACAGAAAAGGTGTTTTTATGAAACAGGAAGTTTTAAAAAGCCCTCTCTGGCTCAATTTGCCACTTGTTGGGTAAAAAACTTGGGAGCTAGAGTTGAATCTGCATCTTAGAGGTTATATTTTGCTCCTTCCAAAGCAGTGTGCAACTCCTGCTTTGACTTGTATTATCTGCTTCGCAATCTATTTGTAATTTTTTTTTTACTCCTTTCCCCGGGCAGAAGTTAGAAGTGCCTCTGAAAAAAAAGAGTGAGAAATCCAAGATTTTACCAAAACTTCCATTTGGCTACAATTACACTTATGCCTCAATGAAAGCAAGTGCTCTTGTCACTCATGCTCAGTGTGAGCAGGCTAATCCCTCCTCTAGAGGAGACAATGAGATTAGTTTCTGTACTCTTTTGTCTCTGTGCCCTCAATACTTTGTAGTACTCAAAGTGTGCTCTCTCTTACTTGTTTGTGTTTACTCTCAAATTCGAATTTCCAGCCCTTTCTCCCTGCCTTTTTGCCTTCGGAGCTCTCAAAGGGCCCCCCCCCCCCGACATCAGAGGAAGCTGTTTGAGAGCAATGGGAAATGGTATTTTGACTTACAGATTTTTCGGTGTACAAACGTCATTCCAAAACGGATTAAGTTCGTAAGTCGAGGTATCACTTAATAATTGAGGTCCAGGCCATATGTGATTTTAAAGAACCAAATAGAAATTGTTTATTGATACAGGTGTTGACAGAACAAGCAATGTTATTACTGTAACTCTTAAACTGACATTCTCCTTTATCCCTCTCAACCACCACTCTCCTGCCCAAACTCCAAATCTCTCTGTCTCAAAACCCTATCTATATCTATTGTATTTTTCCGTGTATAAAACAATACTTTTTCCTTAAATAATTTGAGAAAAAAATGAGGGTTATTTAATACATGGAAGGCAGCTCTTTACCACTGCCTTTTGCAAAGGCATGGGGCTTTAGAAAAAAAGGAAGGGGAGCCGTCTACAGCTCCAGTGCACCCTCGCCTTTTGAGAAAGCATGAAGATTAGCAAAAAGGGAGCAATGGCTCCCCTTCCTTTTTGCTAAACTCTATGCCTTCTCAAAAGGCGAGGAAAAGCAGCAATCACTTTGACAGCCACTTTCCTTGCCTTTTGCCAAGGCATGGGGCTTAGCAAAAAAGGGAGCCCTTTGATCCCTGCTTTTTTAAATTTGTGGTTAGAAAAAGGGGGGTTCATCTTATACATGGGAAAACACAGTATCTCCCCCCTCCTCCTGCTGAGTCTCTTATACCTCATGACTATGCCCCTCTAGCACTCCAATTAGTCTATGCAAATGGCATATGAATATTCATGCCTGGGCAAACGCCACAGACTCCCCCCACTTTTCTAACCCAAAATTTCTTTCTTCCCAAGAAAGTGGAGGGGAAAAGCACTTTGATGATTCCTGCTTTTCCCCTCCACTTTCTTGTGAGGAAAGTGCTTTCCCCCTCCACTTTCTTGCAGTTTTTTTGTGAGGAAAGTGCTTTCCCCCTCCACTTTCTTGCAAAGCACTTTCCTCACAAAGTGGAGGGGGAAAGCAGGGATCAAAGCACTTTGATCCTTTCCCCTCCTTACTTTCATATATAAAACAACCCTCAATTTTTAATCTAAATATTTTAGATAAAAGTATCATCTTATACATGGAAAAATACAGTGACTGTAATTTGCATGTTTGGCTTATATGAGACATGAAAGAATAATTTTAAATGCACTGCTGCATCTCCATAGTGGGTTAGATTTGTATATGAGAGCTGAAATGACTTTTGCAATTTGTTTCTACATACTCCTTTTCAGAAGATACTGTATCTTAGGGTTTTTGGAATCTATTTTTGTAAAAACTGGAGCAGATTGTTGACAAGCCGTTTTTCTCATACCAAAGAGCTGACAGGCAAGACTTTTTTTTTAAAAGATAGTGTTATGTATCAGCTTATGGGGTTTGGATTTTTTTTCATGCTGACATAAATTGCACTACAATCAGTTAGCAAGAGTAAGAAATTGACAAGGAAAAATAAAACAGGCACCACTAATGAAACTTCTTTTCGTGATAGGCAATGATGGTGATGGTAAAAATGCCTTTTTTGTAGGAAAAGATTTGGTAGAAATTATGTATTATTAATCCATATATCTTGAAGCTAATACTGTAGGATGTAAAACCACCTACTTGATGTCGCTGTAAATTGACAATATTGCATCTAAATAGCTCAAGCTTCAAATTTGTCATAGGTATGTCTCACACAATTTGAGCTGTATTTGAAATTACTATAAACTTTTGTTTTGTCTCGTGGTAGGGTGGAATTGAATTAATTCAGATCTATTTAAATCATGATTTAAATTTTAAAAATTAGATTTTTTATTGTTTGAATTAAAAAAATTAAAATGTGATTTAAAGCCTTTTTGTTAAAAAGATTTTTATCCATCCTGTCTAATGAAGGAAAAAAGGGATATATATGCACTATTATCTATTTGCTAATTTCAGATTCTACCGCATGAGGGTGGTAGAGTCCCACATATCACTAATCTGTGTAAAACCAAGTAGGTTTAATAGCTAGTCTAGTTCAGACTACAGTATTGAAAAAAGGAGCACTCTGTGGCTTGGGAAAAAACAGGTCTAGATTTGTTCTTTATTTGTTAATTTTGTAAGTCACTGTACTATTTAGTAGAAGTATGTGACTATACCAGAAGGAGGGATCCAGAAGTGTATCTTTGTTGATGGAATGGCACTGTCTAGCAAAACTGTTCGGGAGTAGGGCAAACCTTTCCCTATGGCTGTATCCAGTACCTCACATGATCTGCTCTGGAGAGCTGGAATACCAGAAGCAATTTTCAAGTGTAGCAGGGTGATCTAAAACAGGGCTCCCTGCTACACTTGAACAGAACAAAAAAGTTCTGCTGCCAGTAGACTATTGGTTTTATAATAGTATATCTGCATTTTAACATTATGATGCACTTCACAGCATCAGTTTTCCCAGTCCCTGTTTTGTGAGCCAAATTTGAGGTTAAAGCAAATAGATTTTCTTTCTGATTATATAAGCTTAGACTAATTTTTTTATCGCTTTATAGTTTCAGGAGATGGAGAATCACTGGTAAGTCTTATTTCGATGTTGTTATACCTATACCTGTCCCTCACATTAGACAAGTTGAGTAAATTGTCTCACAAAAGAAACTTCAAAGGGAATTGAGTGATCAATTGTATTTTTGCTACTATGGGAATGGAGGAGGTTGTAATTTTCATGTATAATATATTGCATCCAGTATCAAAATGCTGAATCATCTCTGTTTAAACCAGCTGCACTCTGGTTTATTTTCAAACTGCTGCTTCATGTCTGCCTGATGTGGTTTTGTTTATGAGATACTTTTTTTGTTACTAGCAAAACAAGCTTCTTATAATACACAAATCATACTCTTTTTCACACATGTACACATTATTTATTTGCCTCTTCTCCAACATTTGTCACAAATTGTACAGTAAAGTAGTACAGTGGTGCCCCGCTAGACGCTTACCCTGCACGACGTCGAAATCGCTTGACGATGACATTTTTGTCAACGATGGTTCCAATGGGGGAAATCCGGTTTACGTTGATTAGGAGCCTGCTTCGCGAACCATTTTTTCGCAAAACAATGTTTTTTTTCTGGCTCCGCAAAATGACTTCCCTCCCTTCTCAAAATGGCTGCCCTCCCTTCTCAAAATGGCTGCTTTTCGGACGGAAGCTTTACATTACAGCAATTTAGAACAGCTGATCGGCGGTTCTCTATGGGCAATATTCGCTGGATGATGAGGTATTTCCCCCATTGGAACACATTGACCTGTTTTCAGTGCATTCCAATGGGGATTTTTTTCGCTTGACAACGATTTTGCTTAACCGATTTTGCTGGAACACATTATCATCGTCAAGTGATATTCTGTTTTGTATTGGAAAACTGATGTTCATAGCTTAGCTTAGTGTCTTGAAAGTATCTAAAAATTATGTTGACCTTGCTTGATGCAGCATTGAAATGTTCAGGTTTGGAGACCAGGAAAATGTTTTATAGTTCCATGCACAGTTGTGCAGTAGTTTAGAAACTGCTTACCTGATTCTTATTTTAACTTCAAATCACACATTTAAACATTTCTTTTAAGGTAATATTCTCATATTTCTTTTTGACTTTCCAGGATGAAGATTCGGAGTGTACTCTAGCTATAGATTTTGAAGTTGGGCACTTCTTTCGTGAAAGAATAGTGCCCCGTGCTGTACTCTATTTTACTGGGGAAGCTATCGAGGATGATGACAATGTATGCAATTTTAAAATTATTTTAATATATCTGTACATAATTTTTAAAAAGTCCTGTTGCTTGTTGTAATAGCCAGGTTTAGTTACAGAGAATTCACTGCTTCTTTTTTAAAAGTACTTACTCAGATTGTCAGATGTTTTGAGGATAGTCACTTGGCTGCCAGTATGTTTGAGTCTTGTTTTTTCTTTATCACTACCTCTGGAGAACCAAATTCATGTGGTATGTGCCAAATTAATGATATTGGAAAACATTCATGGAGAAAAGAGAACTGTTGCTATGTGTAACAATTAAAAGAATTACTAAAGCAGCACCCTTCAAAATTGCTTGGCTGAAATCCTGAATAAGGCCATTCCTGCTAAACATGAAGGTATAGTGCACAAAAATACTTGTTGCAAAAAGTCATTTTAACCACTGCAGTGGAGTTTAAATGGCATTCAAAGCATTCTGTCTTGTGTGATAGTGATTCTTAAAGCAGTACTGTAAAGTAAGCTGTTATTCTTCACATTAGTGTAGATACCAAAAGAATTGCTTGCCTAGAAGTGCAATAAACTCAGCAACATTTTACTTTGGAATTTCCAGTCTTGTTTCCTAGAGGCATTAGTAACTTTAATACTTCTTCGTGGTCTCTGTGAATGCACACTAATGGGTTTAATCTGCGCCAAGATCTCCAGAATACTCTAGAGCTTTATGCTACGTTCGCCAAGGACCGCCCTCCTAGCCCACGAGGTCTGCCCACCCTCTCAATCACCTTGGTTCCTTTTTGCCACAGCTGAGGTCTCCTCTGTCAAGCTGCCATCCATCTGTTGTAATGCCTAATAAAACAGTTATTTAAACTCTATTAATCTTCAAATAATCTCTATCATTCAATCACAATCTTCTACTTCAAGAATTGTAAGAGACTGCCTTTTTATTGACCGCCCCCCTTCCCTTTCCCAACATTTATGGCACCCCTTCCCCCCTTCAAACAGTGCACTTTGTGCTCAAACAAAGCCCTGCTAACAGACAACCATAACATCTGCTTCTTCTGTTTGGGAGAATCACACCAAACATCTTTGTGTCAATTTTGTAAACATTTTACCAAGCAAGCTCTCAAATTAAGACAGCAGCGCTTTAGGTCCTTCCTTTGGGAAAAATCACTTCAACCTTGTCAGGCCATGGATTCACCTCACAATCCACAACCTCCGAGACAATCACCAGTTCCACTTCCCGTCTCTCCGACTGTTAAATTAAGCTCCAAGAGCTTCCAAAGATCTAAATCTAAACCGGCAAGTTCTACCAAATGGACTTCCATACCAAAGTCCCCTTTGATATAATCGAAATCAAAAAACCCGCAAGAAATCATCTGCCGAATCCCATCCGTGCAGAACGGTATCGGACCAACCACCAATTCAGGATCAACCTACTATATGAGTTGACTCTTTGGTAGAGACCCTTCTACCTCCTTCCACCCATCCCAAGTCTCTGATACTAGCCCTGTCTCCAACTTCACTGGTTGATACCGCGGAAGTCACTATGATACTGACGTCTTTATACTTGAGTCCTCTCTCAACAGTTCGCTCCATTTCGATGGGCGACTCCGACTCAGTGTACCAGGCACCCGACGCTTCTCCTCCCTGTAAGAAGTTGAGGAAAGAACATCACGTGTCAAAATCATCTCATCATGGTGCCGATTCTGTGACATCCGCTACACCTACTGGGCCCTTCACATCCTGAGAACCGTCTAGAAGATACAGGCAATCTAAACGGGTCACACTCTACGAACCACTGGAGTATTATGACCCTGCCTATAGAAGCTCTCAATATTGAGTGCATCGGTACCATCCATCCAATCTCGATTTCTACTGGGATTATTGCCGCCAATGCCGATACAATTATGAATCAGACATCTCCAACTCGCCTCCTTCTCGGTATTGGCCTCGGTACCACAACGTCTACCAGTCCCGTTCCTCCTCAGATGACGATTCGGTACCACCCATACCAGTACCGAGACATAAATCACAGAAAAGGCAACACTCTGATCATTCCCAACCTCAGTCCACGGTACCGAAATGATCCCGAGTAACCGCTTCATCTCAACAGCCGCATCAACCATCGGTACAATCAACCACAACTTACACTGGTCCTCAGCCCGTACCTACTGGTACCAAAGAACCACACAAGAAACACTCCAAAGTGCATGCTGCTTTGGTACCGACTCAACGCATGTTAGCAAAAACTCACCATAATCTTCCAGAACCAACTCCTTCACAATATTGCCCAGCTTCTTCCACCTCTTCTTCTCATTCCTTTTCTTTGGATTCCTCCCACTCCACTCTGGATCAGGAATCCCCACCCAACATGCCAACACCAGACTGACATTAACACCAACAACCCACCATCTCCATCTGATGATTTCTCCTCATACTCACAATTAGTTTTACGTATAGCCAAAGCTATGGAACTGGATGTGCAACAGCCTTCCCAAGTTCAATCAAAGTCTTTGAAGACATTAATGACCAGCAAACTCTGCCTCTGAGCATAAGTTTCATTCGTTCTTTGCTTGAACTCACTAAACAAACCTGGACAAAATTATCTCTTGTACCACAGATGTCTCGTAAATTTGAAAACCTTTATAAAATGCATGGAGACAATACTGCCTTCTTGTTTAAGCATCCACCTCCCAATTAACTCATTGTTGATGCTACTCAAAACAGGGTGCATAATCGCTCTAGCACAACACCTAATAACAAGGCAGAAAACTTGATATTGTAGGACGCAGGATCTACTCCCTTCATTCTTTGCACTGCCAATTACACTGCAGCTATGGGAGCCTACCACCATTATTTGTGGAACAAAGCTCTCCTGTCTCTTCAGTCTGCCTCAGGCGAATATAAGGCCTGTGGGCTAGCCTTTCACCAGGAAGCCATGGCTCTTGCATGCGAAGAAAGGATCATAGCTAGGCACATAATCGATGCCTCTTCCCGACACATGGCCACTGCAGTGGCCCTCCGTAGATATGCATTGTTAAGGTCTTCACGTATCGCAGATGATGTGAGAATGAGAATCAAAGACTTAGCATTTAACAGCTCTGGCCTGTTTGACGACAAAACAGAGGAAATCCTGGAGAATCTGCAAACATTTAAAAAGACAGCATGCTCATATAATACCCAGCCATATTACAGACCGCAACGCCCTCAGTGGCGCCGCCCTTATCAGTACCAACAATCAAAACCATTCTACGATAGGAATAAATATTCATCCCAACCAACTATCTCATTTCAACCTAGGCATGCAGTACGTCAGCGACCAAAACAATCTGCCACCCCAAAAAGAAACAAAAACAGGGTCTTTGACTTTCTCATTCCCCAGATCCATGAAACTTACCTTCCTTCAGCAGCAACCACTCGTCTATCAACCCATCTTCCATCCTGGGCATCCATCACAACCGACTCTTGGATACTCACCATCATTGCTACAGGTTATGGCATAGAATTCGCCTATCTACCCCCCCCATCAAGGATCGTTCTGATGTCACCATCTGCTGTCCGCCAACAAGAAATTCATTCTCTCCTCTCAAAAGACGCCGTATCTCCCAACACTACTACAGATCACCACCCAGGTTTCTACTCCCATTATTTCACTGTCCCAAAATGAGATGGCGGACTAAGACCTATCCTCGACCTTCGAGAACTCAATTACTATATAAGTCCAAAAAGATTCCGTATGGTCACACTAGGACGAAGTCTACCAATTCTTCAAAAGGGCGACTGGTTTGCTGTAATAGATCTAAGCAATGCATACTTTCACATCACAATCCGTCAAGACCATTGCAAATTCCTCAGATTTTGTAGGAAATCAGACCTACAAATTCAAGGCTCTCCCATTGCACCTTTCTACAGCACCAAGAGTATTTACGAAATGTGTGGCACCCGTAGCAGCTCATCTACATACTTTGGCAGTTTTGGTTTTTCCATACATAGACTGGCTCGTAGTCTCTCCTCAGCCTCAAGCTCTCAAAGATGCCCAGGTGAACACCTTTTTGAGAGAGGGAGTGGTCCCTGCCACCTTGAAAGATGGCCTAAAAATCAACAAAATCAATCCTCGCTCCCACTCAAACCATCAATTACATAGGTGCTCTTCTCGACTCTACCAGAGCAAGAGTTTTTCTTCCTCAAGAAAGAGCCAACAAACTTCACTCTTTAATCAGTCAGTTTCATCCCCACTCTCACATCACCGCACATTCTGCTCAGTGCCTCTTAGGCCTTATGGCCTCTACATCCTCTATTATCCTACACGCCAGGCTGAAAATGCGCTCACTTCAGTCTTGGTACCTCACTCTTTTCAATCCAATGACAAATTGCCATCAAAACTTCAGAGTCACCTCCAAACTCTCAACTTCGTTGGGGCGGCCTTTTACTCCCCTTCAACCAACAGTACAAATTACAACAGATGCAATCAGGGGCATGTATTGCTACAATCTTCACATTCATGCCAACCTGTCTTGCAGGGAAAGAGCCCTCCATATAAACAACCTAGAGCTTCTAGCCATCTTCAAGGCATTCAGAGCATTCGAACCAAGTAACAATGGACAACACCACCGCATTATTTTACATCAACAAACAAGGAGGCATGCACTCCCTCCCACTTTTTTATCTCACAGTGGAGTTTTGGGAATCGTGTCTCGAACTCCACATCTTTCCCATGGCAATACATATTGCCACACAGGACAATCTAGTGGCAGGCAGACTGAGTGGACTACATACCGAAATGCACAAATGGTCTCTCGAACAGTCAGTGTTCCTTCACCTTTGCAAACTCTGGGGTCACCGCCAAATTGATATGTTTGCTACTCCTCAAAATGGAGAAGATCTATTCTTTTCAAGGGCTGGCATGGGATGTGGATCACTAGGGGACACACTGCTGGCAGATTGCACTGTGCATCTCATATACTTCTTTCCTGCCATCCCTCTACTCCTCAGGACAATATCCAAAATCAGACAAGACCAGGCCAGCGCGATCCTTATTGTTCCCTAGTGGCCAAGGCAGCCATGGTTCACCCTGCTCTGTTCCATCAGCAGTGATCACCTCCCCCTCCCTCTAGTTCCACACTTACTCTCACAGCATCAAGGCTAGGGGGGCGGTCCTAGATTAAACCCATTAGTGTGAATTCACAGATGACCACTCGAAGAACCAGAGTTACAGGTAAATGACCTCTGTTCCTTTGTTGGTAACTATTCTTACCTAGTCCTACCAAACAAGGCTAGAGAAGAGGCTAGTTATACAGGTGATCTTTGCCATAATTTATTAATATTGTGATGAAAAATGGCTAAGCAGTTTTGCATTTAGCTACAATATTGCAAAAGTATCTCAAGGAATTGTTGCTTTTATTTATTTTATTCTATTCCATTCTGTTACTAAGGAGATGTGCATTTATTTTTAAAAGCCTAAATCTTTCAATCTCCTTTCCCTTCTCTGAAAGAAAAATGATGTGAATTCAGAAAGACTGTATTCTGTGTTTTGACAGTGTTTATATAAAAGAATATACATTTGAAGTTATGTCAACTAATTATGAGCTACAGAGAAATGAGACAGCCTGGAATGAATACCTTCATGTAAATGTGGATTTTTTCTGCCGATGTTTAAACTAAACAACTTTTCTTGCTCTTAGTTTGAAGAAGGAGAGGAAGGAGAAGAGGAGGTGAGCAAAATCTGCTGAACTTTATGATTCATTGAAGAGAGAATGTGCATTCCATTGCAAGAAAAGAGGGGAATATTAACTTTCAGTAATCTGAAGAGGTTTTTGTTTCAGAGGCATTCTATGTGGTTTCATGCCCATAATGTTGTCAACTGATTATAAGAACATATTTTCCTTAACAGCTCTTTATGCAAGTAATGCGTGGTTTTCTCAGCGAGACTGGAAGATGGTAGTTTGGATATGGCGGGGCTGGTTGTGGCCCCATTGTCATGGTCAGACTGCTTCCTGGTCAAGTTTAGTCTACTAGCTTCTCCCTTCTGCAAGGGTGGGGGATCTATTAAGATGATCCACCCTCGGAGACTAATGGATCGGATGGTTTCCTGAATGCTCTGTGGGATTATTCATCTGATATGGTCAGCACTCCAGTCGAAGCTCAGGTCACCCTGTGGATTCGGGAGATGACCCGGGCAGTTGACACAATTGTGCCTAAGCGCCCTCTCCCTGCACGCAGAGCCCAGACAGCTCCTTGGTATACTTCTGAACTGTGTGCGATGAAGATGGCTAGAGCACAGGTGAAAGAAATCCCACTGGGAGTCTGATCAAACACGACTTTGAGCCCATTATCGGGCCTATTTTGTGCCACTATGGCTGGCGAAATGGCAATATTTCTCCAGCCGTATTGCTTCCTCAGAATGTCATCCAGCAGAGATGTTTCGGGTGGTCCTGGATCTTCTTCAACCTTGAAATCCGGTAGAGGTCCTGAACTGCTCATCAGCTCACTGTGATGAGTTTGCCATTCATTTTGAGGGAAAAATCGCTCTGATTTGCAATGGGCTGGACTCCAGCGTTACTGCAGAATCAGAGGATGAGTCCAGTGTGTCGTGCTTGGGTCAAGTATTAATGGATGAGTTTCAATTGTTGAGACCTGAGGATGTGGACAGGATGCTTGGTTCTGTCCATTCTACCACCACTCCGCTTGACCCTTGCCCATCTTGGCTAATTGGAAGATCTGCCAGGGGGGTTCGCACCTGGGTCCAGGAGGCCGTGAACGCCTCTTTGAGAGAGGGAGTAGTCCCTACCACCTTGAAAGAGGCAGTAATTTGGCCACTCCTAAAAAAGCCTAACCTGGACCCAAGGCTGATGGTTAACTGATGACATTTCGGTGCTAGGTCAAAACCTTTCTGTTCCAGAAGGCTTTTAATTGAAAAAATATCAACCGTGGGTCCTGATGGCAATTTTTAGAGTATATATTTCAATTGTATTTTTTTTTAACTGTATTTTAATTGTTATAAGCCGCCCAGAGACCTTTGGGTAGTCTGGGTGGTATATAAGTAAAATAGGTAGGTAGGTAGGTAGGTAGGCAGGGGTTAGCCAACCTATATGCTTGGGTAGCCATTATATGAAATTATTACCCGTTTATGCTGTATGAAGTAAGGCTTATAAAAGCATGGTTTCTTTACAGGACAGGAGATTGATACAAAATTAGCATCTTAAAAAAGAATGCCTATTCAGAAGGAAATGAAAGACTGGAAAAACTATAAAGCATTTGCTCCAACGTGTGATTTTATTTGTGTATAGATGTGGACAATGGACTTTTCTCATCAGTGTTTTTCTGACATAAAATACTGTAAATAAGCAGTAGTTTATTATTGTAGTGAGTTTAAAGTCTCCTTATTTTCAGATATTTTGAGAGAAATTGGAACTTTTCATAGATAAAATAATCTAGCTTTTAATAACTGTAATTGCCAAATGTCTCCTCAGGTGAAACTAGTGAAGCTTTGAGCTGTCTCACAAGTTTTACTGCTTCATTACAATATATAATTTAATGTAAATTCATGGCAGCATTAAAGGAGAGGTGCTTAAGTTTACTGGTCAATGGCATATTGCTAGGGACATCCTAGGACAGTGATGGGAAACCTTTGTGAGCCTGAGTGCCCAAACTGCATAGATCAATGCATAGATCCAGCTCCTGTCCAGGAGGCCCGGGATACCTTAACCCCCAAGCTACCCAATCAGTGGGCACCCTCTGGGCTGGTGTGTCCTCCAGAGGGCATCCAGGGAGCGTCTTCCCCCCTCCTCAAATATAAGCAGGGCCCTCGCTTGGGCTTCCTGCACTGCACTCCGCCCCCATCGCTCGCTCTCCTGCAATTCCGGAGCCACAGTCAATGGGCAGCTGTGATGCACACCGAGGGGTGAGCAGGTGCGACTCCTTCTCCTCCTGCCACTGCTGCCCAGTTGCCACCTACAGTGCCACTCATGGGCTCCCTTCGGGCGGAGGACATGGTGTCGGAGTGAGCTTGAGCTGAGCCTTGGTAGCGAGTGGCGCTGCACCCTGCACCAGGCTGGCATGGGCAGCAGCATTGGCATGGCTTGCATGCCCACAGAGAGGACTCTGCATTCCAGCTGTGGCACACATGCCATAGGTTTGCCATTGCTGTCCTAGGACTACTGACTTCCAATTGCAAATAATTTAGATCCTGGCATGTTAAAAACCAAGTCAATACATTATAGTCATTCTTCCTGTTGGTGTGAGAAGTCAGCTGTGGATTATTTTCTACTGTTTAGAAAGCACAGATCATGCAACTTTAATCCCCTCACATTCACCATCTGCAGATGCTTGTTACAGATTTTTTGATGTTCCTATTTGTTCCTCTTTTCACCTGGAGAAGAAACTAGGCTTTCATCTGTTTAAGTCAGACTGTTCTAATTATCCTCCCACTGTGTGTTCTACTTCATTTCTGTTTTCTGTGTCTTTCCCCCACCATTTTTTGTAAAAAAAAAAAAACCAACCTTCATGCTGCTATTCCTTCACTTAGTCCCCTCTTTATATGTGTCTGATAGTTCCATCAGGAAAATGACCCAGTAAGCCTGATGGTATGAAAAGGAGGCATGCTGCATAAACAGGAAACTTTGCAGCAGCTTTGTTTATCAACAAGAGAAACTCCTGGGAGTGATCTTGCAAGCTTCCCCTAACAGCTATTTACTCTGACTCTTGCCACAACACAGGATCAGTGGTTCTATTATGCAAAGTACCCTCTTTTGTGATCAAGATTGTCTGTCACCCTCTCCATTTAGGCAGCTTGCTAGAACCCCTTAGATGCTGGAAAAATTTGCACTATGTTTCTAAAGCAATTTTGATAGCAGTAGTGTTCATGCCCAACAGAAGTGTGAAAGGGTCCCTTTGACATGGTATGAATTTCTCTTGGGCTTAAAGTATTCTCAGTCAAAAATACTAATTGAGCCTCAGCCTTTATTTTCCAAGACTATGTAGGGCTTTCTCTAGGGGCACACACAGAACAACTCTATGATCTATATGAAGAACCAGGCACCCTTTCAAGAAGTTCTTTATCAAGGGGGGCTTCTACAACTCAGTAAATCTCACTGAATCATACCTGCCTATTCATGTTGTACTCTTATCACCGCATATGAACTACAGATCACTGTAGGGAATATCACTTTTCACTACAGAGTTGTGGTTTTTGCCTTGGCTTTCCCTCAAATATCACAGAACTGGTTGCCCTCATGATGCACTAACTCTCCTGCTTTCATCTGTAACATTTAACTTGGCAGTGTCTTGCTTTGATTCATAAATTTCCCCAGAGTTCATAGGGTTCTGCAATTCACTCTGAATTACCTAGAATAGTGCAAATTCTTGCTTAGCCAACTCAGAAACCAGTTACAGCTGTCTCATTGCTTCCAGTCTGTAGGCATCCACAGTAAACCCAGGGATTCATCTCTTTTGGAAAATATTCAGCATGCTTTCCAGATCACACAACAATGGTTCTCAAGGGCACTTGCATTTCCCGTGTGAAGATCTTGTTTATTGAGATCTTCCTGTGGCTTAGGTAAAGGTAAAGGTTCCCCTTGGCATATAGTCCAGTCGTGTCCAACTCTAGGGTGCGGTGCTCATCCCCGTCTCCAAGCCATAGAGCCAGCATTTGTCTGTAGACAGTTTCTGTGGTTACGTGGCCAGTGTGACTAGACACGGAATGCTGTTACCTTCCCACCATGGTGGTACCTATTTATCTACTCGCATTTACATGCTTTCGAACTGCTAGGTTGGCAGGAGCTGGGACAAGTGATGGGAGCTCACTCCATTGCATGAATTCAGTCTTATGACTGCTGGTCTTCTGACCTTGCAGCACAGAGGCTTCTGTGGTTTAACCTGCAGCGCTGTGGTTTAACCTTCACTAAATGTAATTATTGCTTTTTTAAGACTGCAGAACTCACAACTAAGAAGTTATTTCTCCCCCTGCTGCTAGCTGTTTGTAATAATGGCTCAAGCTCCACAGGTGGACATGAGAAGTGCCTTTCAAGAAGACTCATTATATTGTGTTGGTTACCCAAGCATGGCTACACTTTCAAGTCATTATATAACAATCAAATGATCACCAAAGTACTAATGGACCCACAGGTCCTGATTCTTTTATTATGAAGCCATAGTATTAACATTGTGGGCTCATTTATTGTAGTCCATCATATCAAGGGGACTCTGAACTTGATGAAAAAACTGGCTCGGTTGCCAAATCTTTCACCCAGGAAGATGGATACCTTCTCAGCAACATTCCCTCTAAGCTGCATATGCAGAGCTCCATCAGAGCAATGAGGTTCCCCTCACTCCTCTCATTTCCAGTGTTCCGCTGAAAATTCACTTCCAGGAAAATATAATAAACTGCTCTTTGAGAGACATCTTTTGTCTTTCCTATGGCCGCCATCTTGAGAACATTACAAAATCTCACCTGCCTTGCATATCTCTTACAGTTACATATTTCCTACAGTAACAGAAGAGTGGGACTTCTATACTCACTGTGATGTTTTCTTCTTGTTAGGCATGCACCATCATTCTCTCATGATAGCTGGCTACCCTTAGCATGTAGCCTTCTCTTCACATTGCCCAGAATTCTAAATTCTTCTGCGTGGTCTTCTGTGAATGCACACAATAAGGGTTTAATCAGCGCCTGCGCTGGTCTCCTCGGAACATTTGAGAGCTCTGTAAAAGAAACATTGTTAGAATGACCTACACTGCGCATGCTCCGCCCACCCAACGCTCAGTTCCATTTCTCCGCCGTGCGAAGTGGTTCTTCTCGGCTGAGCTCTTGCTTTTCTGACTATTACTGGTTTTATTATACGGCTTTTTCGACCTTTGGACTGTTTCGGACTTCCCTTTCGCCTACCGTTCTGGTTTTTGTCGTTTCGGACTTCTCCGCGCCTTGCGCAGTGAGTTTTTCTGTTTCCCGCCTTTCTCTACTGGCCGTTACCCTCCCGGGGCCTATGCATAGCCTTCTCTTCACATTGCCCAGAACTCTAAATTTTCCTTTTGTTTTCATATGTCTGTATTTCATCTGAGTGTCTTTTCTGTTACAAGCAGGGCCATGAAATGGAATTGAGGAAGTGCTTGCATGGGACAGGATAACTGGGGGAAAGTTTAGGGGGCATGGCTTAATAACGCAGCTTATGGCTTACATGCATGATTTCTGGCATCTTTAGGTAGGAACTGGAAAGAACCTGGCTGAAGCCCTGGAGAGATATTGCAAGTCTTAGTCGGTAATACTAGGCTAACTAGAGCAGTGGTCTTGCCTAGTATGCTTGAAACAGCTTTCTACGTTCCTATGATTCTGTATTCTGAAAAGCAGAAGGTAGTCATCTATAGTTGAATGTCTCTGTGTGTCAAGGAAGCAGCCTTCATGTTAAATATCAATGTTGTTTTATCGTGCTTCTCCTTAAAACCATTCTTATCTTTTTTTTTCTTTCCTTTTAAACACAGGAATTGGAAGGTGAAGAAGAAGGGGAGGAGGATGAAGATGCAGAGAGTGAACCTAAGGTTACCCACATTTTAAAAATTCTTGTGCTAAGTAATAAATTATAGTATATTCACGAAGGCTTTCACGGCCGGGATCTAATGGTTTTTCTGGGTTTTTCAGGCTCTTTGGTTGTGTTCTGAAGGTTGTTCTTCCTGATGTTTCGCCAGTCTCTGTGGCCGGCATCTTCAGAGGACAGCGACCTGTGCTCTCGTGTAGTTGGCTTGGGAGTGCAGTATTTATGGCTGTGAGATAGGCTTATGTCTTTTTCTGTAGATGGGTGATTAGTGTGTATTGTTGTGGGTGTATTGTTGTGCTAAGGGGAAGAGATTATCTGTTCCTGTGGTTGATGGGTGTCATTAGCTGGTCTTTTGTATGTAGTGATCCCCTGTCCTTGTGGGTGGGTAGAGTTTGTTGACCTTTTCCATGTAGTATGTTTGATAGCTGGGAGCCAAGTTCAGATGGTTGAGTTCAGTGCTGAGAAACTGAGCTTCACAGTTCCAATTTGCCCGGTCTACCAGTGTTTTGATTATGCCCTTTTTTTTGCTGTGGGTGGTGGTTGGAGTTTTTGTGTACGTACCGGTCTGTGTGGGTGGGAAATTGTGAGAAATTGGAAGAAAATTTGAAGAAAAATTGGAAGAATTTCTCAACCATCTCAACAGCATCCACCCAAATATACAATTCACCATGGAAAAAAAATAGAGGGCCAGCTCCCGTTCTTAGATGTCATGGTCCTACACAAAACTGACCTCCAGCTGGGACACAAGGTCTACAGAAAACCCACCCACACAGACCGGTACCTACACAAAAACTCCAGCCACCACCCACAACAAAAAAGGGGCATAATCAAAACACTGGTAGACTGGGCAAATCGGAACTGTGAAGCTCAGTTTCTCAGCACTGAACTCAACCATCTGAAACCGCATGGGGAAACTTTTGAAAAAACACAACCTACAAAGAGCATTCAAGCCCACCACAAAAATACAGCAAATGTTACAGTCAGCAAAGGACAGAAGGGACCCCCTCACCACCGCAGGAGTATACCGTTGTGGCCAGGTATATTTGGAACCACAAAACGAAACATCCACACCAGAATCAAAGAACATGAGAGACATTGCAGACTAAAACAACCAGGAAAATCTGCAGTAGCTGAACATGCCCTGAAACAAACTGGACATGAAATTCTATTTCAAAATACTGAAATACTGGACAACACCAGCAATCATTATGTCAGACTGCACAAGGAATGTGGCCAGGTATATTTGGAACCACAAAACGAAACATCCACACCAGAATCAAAGAACATGAGAGACATTGCAGACTAAAACAACCAGGAAAATCTGCAGTAGCTGAACATGCCCTGAAACAAACTGGACATGAAATTCTATTTCAAAATACTGAAATACTGGACAACACCAGCAATCATTATGTCAGACTGCACAAGGAAGCCATTGAAATCCACAAGCACAAGCACAGTTTCAACAAAAAAGAGGAAAGTATGAAGCTCAACAAAACTTGACTCCCAGCTATCAAACATACTATGTGGAAAAGGTCAACGAACTCTGCCCACCCACAAGGACAGGGGATCACTACACACAAAAGACCAGCTAATGATACCCATCAACCACAGGAACAGATAATCTCGTCCCCTTAGCACAACAATACACACTAATCACCCATCTACAGAAAAAGATAAAAGCCTATCTCACAGCCATAAATACTGCACTCCCAAGCCAACTACACGAGAGCACAGGTTGCTGTCCTCTGAAGATGCCGGCCACAGGGACTGGCGAAACATCAGGAAGAACAACCTTCAGAACACGGCCAAAGAGCCCGAAAAACCCAGAACAACCAATAAATTATAGCATTCTATCTTTATCATAGGCCTCGTTTTATTTTTGTACAACATAGTTTGAATTCAAAGAATTTCTTCACTTTTTTCTGCTGATCACATTAATCAAAGTGCATCTCATTTTCTTTTAATAGTGCACATTCATGTTCTTTCATTAACATTAAAATATAACTAATGCACGTTGACTGTCTTCACATTAATATATCTGAACCACTTAGATCAAAGCATACGTCTATATTTTACAAGCTTTGGAATCTTGCAGAATAAGTGTCTTGCTTTTGGTCTGTTTATTTATTTACAGTTGTATTTCTTTTGTTTTTCCTTTGGTAAGTTCCTGATGTTTTTAACAGTACTAAAGACTGCTTTCTATACTCCACATTTCCTCTGTGTGTAAGGGCAAAAAATCCTCTATGTGCAGATGACATTAGTTTCTAGATGGAGAATTGCAACAAAATGTATTGCAGTCTGATTGTCACATGATATTTGTACATGGTCTTTCCTCTTAAGTAAATATTGAGTCCATGTAGGAAAAATGACAGGAGTGAAATAATCTTACTTTTGTCTATGCCCCCCATCCCATTCCCTAAATAGGCCTGTGTTAAAACTTGTGCATGGCTAGGACTCTCTCTTGAATCTGTTCTCAGACAAGATTTTTAAAAGTGGATAGCTAGACATGTACAATATGTGTTGAGGAGCATAGGATTGTATATTAAACTAAGTAGAGCATGTGATATACCAGAAATATTGACATGTGAAAATTGTATTGGCATTGATGAAGACACATACACTTAGCCTTGCATGACATAACGATCATACTCTGCACTACGTTATGTATATTCCTTATGAAGATGGTGTTTCTTTTGACCCACACATAGTTATTGTATCGGTAGGAGGATACTTGTTGAGTTGACAAGTGAAATGTATCAGTGGCTGTCAGGGGTCTTTTGTGGGGGGATAGAATATTATTTTGATTACTTGAAAATATGACCTTGATTATTTTAGACAGTGGTTGTATGTGACAAACCATTTCATGTATCTTCTGGAATGCTAGTTGTTGCTATCTATTTTTTGTCCATTTCACTTTTCTTTCATGCTGACAGTTCCTTTCAATTTTTCCCCATTTAGGTGTAATTTAAGTCTGTTTATCATTCATTCATTTATAGGTAAGGTTCAATTCCATTAATACATAACTTCCAGACTTCCCATTGTTGTAGCCCATGTAATGTTCATTTAAGTACCTCTTTTTCTTTTGTTTGGTAAATTGAAAAATGGGGTGCCTGATCTAGATACCAGGGATTCCGTTTCTCTTCAGAAAAAGTCAGAGATTTAAAACTGCAAAATTATGGAAGATGCTACTATTTATAGAAACTTCCCTTTCTTCGTGGTTCACGTTCTGTTCTTTAGCTATGTGCTTTTAAGATGCGTGTATTTTTGTTGTGATTGTGTTGACTTGTGTGTATTACTTTGTGCAGGTCTTAATGAATAAACTTGGTAGTTAAATTTCTTCATGCCATTTAAGTGTTGTAGCTTCTGTCATAATTATGTGCCATCAAACTGAATTTAATTTAACAGTGACCTTCCCATAGTTTTCTAAGTATAAAGTAGTCTGGAGTGATTTACCAGACCTTTCTTCTGATGGGAGTTTGGGACTGTGCACCTTTCGAAATGCCATACAGAGCACATAACCCTGCTAGCAACACATCCCTCTCTTCTGGGAGGTTTAATAAGGATGCAGACTCCTGACCTCTGGCTCCATAGCCTTGCACTCCAATCCATTGAGTTCTAGTAGATCTATGCTAAAGCAGCTATACTTTACTAGAACAACTAGGCTATTGCATATCATATTTTTCCACACCCTGAGTTTCAGCTAGATTAATAATGGTACCTATGCCAAATTAGTCATCCATGTCTTGTAGTTCATCTAGTTTCCTTTAACACACACTCTTCTTAATTTTCCTCATCTCTTTCTTTTTAACTTTGTACTGTATTAGTTTAATGATGTGTAGTATTTTCACTTTCATTCTTTCATGTTAATAAACCTCTCTGCTTTGCACTTCAGATAATATATTAGGATAGATTGCTGATCTCATTAAGATTCAATAGAGATAGCAACAGACTTCTTGAATCATTAAATTGTGTGTCTGACTTGTATCATTTTCATCTAGGATTTTTGCTAATATTACAGTTTCTTTTTGAACAATATGTATGTTGGTTGAGAAGAATAGGCTATAAACTGTTAGGTTCTTCTTTTAATATCTAATTTTCTGCCTCAGAGATTCATGTTGCTATTGCATGGTTTCTTTGTGCCTTGAAAGGTACTACTCTCTCATTTTTCACAGGCTTTAGTGTTTTAACATCTTATTAATGAACATTTAAGGAAGATAACAAAAAATTGAAGAAAAAAAATCCTGGAAAGAATTAATGGAACTGAATGGCTGTTCATGTGATTTAAAAGATTATATTCAGTGCTCAAGTTAGTTAGAAGGACCATTATGAAAGGAAAAATGTTCTAGAAATCCATAAATTACTTTCCATTTAGGTGTTATCAGGTCACTTTCATCTGTAGGAGACTGAGTGTCTACATATGCTGCTTAATTCTACATACATGAAATAAAATCCATGTCTCTGTGGCATATTAGAAATGCTATCAGCCTGATTTCTTTGCATCTCTGGGATAGCAAGGTAATTAAGCACAGGGGTAATAAGTAAGTCACCTGTAGGTTGAGATAATGGGCAGAGTCTAGTTGCATAATTTTGTGCTTGGCTCAACATGGACCAGCAGCAATTTTTTACACTTGAAAGCTCCCCAGCCCCATCCTGAGGCTTCCAAAGGCTTCCCCAGGGCAAAAGGAAGTGCAAGGGAGTCTTGGAACCTAAAACCAGAGGGTTATGAAGTTTATGATTAGTGTAAATTAAATCCCGTCCATGTTGCACTGGATGCAAAGTTACACAACAGAATTTTGCTCATCCTGTCATTGGTGGATACTTTATGCTTTTAGGGGGTAGTAATTTGAGGTAGCTAATACGTAGTTGTTCTTCTTTAACCCACAGAATACTGTTTTCTGGTTTCCACACATCCCTGTTTTAATAAAACATAGAGACCACCTCATTCTGTTTAGGTTAAAACCAGGATCTTCTCTATAGCCAGCTAGTCTTGCAGTAATTTCATTC